CTCTTTGGTAAAGTGTCTGAATCTTTTGTTCAGGTTTCAACTGGATTGTTTGTTTCTTCCTGCTGAGTTTAGAACAGTTCATTGTATTCTAAATACAGTCTTTTGATGAAAATGTATTTTGCAAATATTTCCTGCTATTCTGTGGTTTATCTTTTTCCTTCTCTTAATGGTCTCTTTCACAGAGCAAAACTTTTTAATTTTGATGAAATCTAAGTTATTTATGTTGTATGGATTGTGTTTTTGGTGTCATGTGAAAAATCTTTTTGTCTAACCCTAGGTCATGAAGATATTCTCTTATGTTTTTCCTAAAAGATTTAATGTTACATTTTATAGTTGGATATATGGTTCATTCTGAGGCTGCACACACTCTTTTGTACAAGATGTGATATTTATGTCAATTTTCAATTATTTCCTAAGAATATACAATCATCCCAACCTCATTTTCTCATAAGACTATGTTGTTACCTCTATTGAACTGTCTTTGCATTTGCCAAAAAATAAATTTTCCTGACCTGTGTGGATCTACTTCTACACATTTACTCAGTGACATAAACTTGTTAATGATAGTCTTTCATTACATTTATAACATTATAGAGCCTGTAGAATGGTTCTCTTTTTTATTACTTATATTTATATGAATAATTCATCTTTTTTTTCTTTTTTCCCTTGATAATTATACATAGGAATATATCACTTTTATTAATCATTTTAACAAAACTAAATTTGTGTTTCATGGTTATTGCTATAGTTTATTTGTATTTCACCAATTGAACATTTTATTATTACATCTTTCATTTTATGTTGGGTTTACTTTGCTCTTCTATCATCTTTTTCTGAGTCTTCATAACAGTGTTTCAACATCTTTCTTTAGTAATATAAGTACTTAAAAAGATAAATTTTCTTCCATATATTATTTTAGCTCCATCTCAGACATATTTATATAATGTGCTCTCACAATATTTACTTTCAAAATATTTTCTAATAGCCATTGTAACTGTTTCTTTAACCTAGAGTTATTTTAACGTTAGTGCATATAATCCAAATATTTTGAAGTTTCTAGAGACATCTCTTTGCACTTGATTTTCTAATCATTTTCATCTTGGTCAAATAATAAATTCTGTATAATTTCAGTTTTATTAAATATATTAAGACTCGTTATGCACACACTGATGTGTGTGTGTGTTTGTATGTATGTGTTTCATCTACACAGCAGGGTGTGTCTGGAGCCTCGGCTGCAGGTTCGTGTAGAGGCCGCAGGTGCCTGGGGAGCACCGTGCTGCGCAGCACAGAAGTAAGTGCCCGAGTCTGTGGTCCGCGGAGAGGAAATGTGCAGTGAGCTGCGGCGTTCTGCACGGACTGTGGTGGCCTTTAATCTTCCATCCTGCTTTGTCCCTGAAGGAACGGAAAACAGGAGGATGAGGCGGCCCCCAGGGTTCTGAAGATACCAATTCACACTCCGTGGGGAAGTGGAAAAATTACAGCGAAGCGTGTCGCTGGCTCCCTCCTGGAGACTCAGGGCTGGGGGAGTCTGCCCCACATCGGCCCCTCGCACACCTGATGAGGAAAGAGAAACAGTCACTGTGAGGGTCACTGTAACTCCTACTAAACCCTGAAAGTGCCCTCCCCCCACCCCCATCCCCACAGACGATGAGAAGGATAGAAAGTCCGCAGGACTTGTCAGCTCCTCTCCCTCCCTCGACAATAGAGCAGCGCCTCACTCCTCCAGGTTCCCTGTGGGGCAGCCCCAACTCACAGCAAACCTGGGCAAACAAAAGCCCCAGCACAGTGCCTGCTAGCCTTTTCATGATGCTTCCTCTTCTTGGGACATTTTCACTACAAGACACTTAACTAAACCCTGAGGGAGTGAGTGTCATAAGTCGTTCCTGCTCCTGCAGCCAATCAGCTCACCCAACAAATCCTGCTCAGGTGACGCTGACAGGACGCCCCACCCGCCACCGCAACCAACTCAGAATGTGCTGGCCAGAGGCAGGTGAGAGTGGGAAGTAGAAAAGTCGTTATTTTATGACTTAAGGGATACTTTCTGAGAACATTTCGGAGAAGGCAGACTCTGATTTGGAATTTGGGAGACTTTTAGGGTAAAGAAAGCAAAAATTAACTGTATAGCCCCTTCGTCTCACATGGCATGGATGCAGTAGATTCTTCCATAATGAAATGATTTTTCCCAGAAGTGCTGAGAATCCAGCTTTTGTTTCTCTTATGCTCTCACTTGTGGTTCTAAAGGGTGCTCATGGCTAAGTAAGCCAGAAAGATAAAGACCATTACAGTATACTAACACATATATATATGGAATTTAGAAAGATGGTAATGATAACCCTATATGCAAAACAGAAAAAGAGACTCAGATGTATAGAACAGACTTGTGGACTCTGGGAGAAGGCGAGGGTGGGATGTTTCAAGAGAACAGCATCGAAACATGTATATTATCTAGGGTGAAACAGATCACCAGCCCAGGCTGGGTGCATGAGACAAGTGCTCAGGCCTGGTGCACTGGGAAGATCCAGAGGGATTGGGTGGAGAGGGAGGTGGGAGGGGGGACCGGGATGGGGAATACATGTAAATCCATAGCTAATTCACTTCAATGTATGACAAAAACCACTGCAATGATGTAAAGTAATTAGCCTCCAACTAATAAAAATAAATGGAAAAAAAATTTTTTTTAATTTAAAAAAATAAAATAAAAATAAAAAAAATAAAGGGTGCTCATGGATCAGCACAGTATTGCAAGTTGCCCCTGTTGGCTGGAACACTTTGCTGTATTAAACAGTATTTTTTAAATTTATTTTTAAAATTTATTTATTTTTAATTGGAGGATAATTGCTTTACAATGTTGTGTTGGCTTCTGCCATACAATGATGCAAATCAACCATAAGTATACATACGTCCCCTCCCTTTGAACCTTCCCCTCATTCTTCTAGGTTGTCACAGAGCACCGTGTTGAGCTGCCTGCATCATACAGCAACTTCCCACTAGCTATCTCTTTTGCATATGGTAATGTATACGTTTCAATGCTATTCTCAGTTCATCCCACCCTCTCCTTCCCCTAGTGTGTCCAAAGTCTGTTCTCTATGTCTGCATTTCCATTTTTGTCCTGCAAATAGGGTACATCAACAGATGAACGGATAAAGTTGTGGTACCTATATACAATGGAATATTATTCAGCCATAAAAAAACACATTTGAGACAGTTCTAGTGGGGTGGATGAAACTAGAGCCTATTAACCAAAGTGAAGTAAGTCAGAAAGAGAAAAACAAATATCACATATTAATGCATATATATAGATTCTGTAAAAATGGTACTGATTACTTGAAAAGTTATATATATTTATTTTAGACTAGGGCTGCATAAGGAGCAGTTTTAGTTATCTTAACCACTAGCTGGACATTGAAAACTGAATTGTAAGTTTTATTTTTATTAAAACATCTATAATTTTAAAATAAATCATTTTAAAGAAAATTTCTATCATAAATACATTTTTAAAACTGTTGACTACTAGTTTTGTATTCTGCTTGCTAATTTTAGTAAGCTGTTTTAGAGAAAAATAAGTGTTTTTGAAACCATATGAAGATAATTTTAGTTTGTGCTCTTATCTCAGACTTTATAAATAATATCAATTCTCTGTCAGTGGATTTGGGGGTAAAAGGGATGGAAGATGAGGACCTGTATATTTTCACAGCAGTGAAAGTGAAGTGATCTGCAGGCACTAACATTCAGATGGACAATTCAAGGATGGTTCAGTAGTAGCAGCACATAGGCCTGGTTGCTCCAAGGCATGTGGGATCTCAGTTCTCCAACCAGGGACTGAATCTGTGACCCCTGAATTGGCAGGCAGATTCTTTACCACTGAGCCACCAGGGTAAGCCCCATGTGCTGCTTGCATGCCTGCATGCTAAGTCACTTCAGTCATGTCCAACTCTTTGCAACTCTAGGGTCTGTAGTCCGCCAGGCTCTTGTGTCCATGGAATCCCCCAGGGAAGAATACTGGAGTGGGTTGCTGTGCCCTCCTCCAGGGGATCTTCCCAACCCTGGGATCAAACCCCTGTCTCTCTCCTGCAGCTCCTGCAGCGGGCAGATTCTTTACTCCTGAGCCAAAGGGGAAACCCCATGTACTGCTTAGGAAATATAAAAAATGATGAAAACTCTTTATAGAAGCAGAGTTTCCAGACCTGCCAAGAAAGTGAAACATTGTCATTCACTTAATTTTTGTTTCTTTCAAAACACTTCTTCATGGGAAATATGAATGTTCTAGGCTAGCAACAATAACATTTCAGATTTTTCTCAGAGAAAGAGTAGTTTGTTTCTGGTAAGTGGAACAACTATAACACATCAGAGTATGGACTTGGCCCTGGATCCAAGTGAAAGAAGCCTTTGGTACAAGGAGAATTATTTGTATGTTTCCCACTTCTTATGTTGGGACTAGCGGCACTAAAACCAACATTTTATTGACATGAGGAGGAGCCATAACAAGTTATTAACACCTCTTTACTTTATTGCTGTGCTGAAATTATGATTCTGACACGCCTCAAAGTTCTCAGCTGCATCAATAAACTAGGTGTTTAGTCCATGTCCTCTTTTTCTTCTTTTCTTTATCCATCTTCTTCCCTTCCCCTTCCCTTCATTTTTCTCATCTCTTACTGCTCTCTGACTCTCCATCTAGATGACTCTAGATTTGTTCTCGTGACTGCTACCCCCACTGTGTCCCCACTTTTTCCCACCAGAGATACTGCACAGGTGCAGCCCCATCTGGCCCACTGTGCCCCTCTCAGGATGCAGTAGTACACAGCGGTGTCTCTCAGGGTGACCTGGGGCAGGACCAAGGTGCTGGACTTTCTGTCTGAAGCTATGGTCAGAGAGGCCAGGCTGTTGTTCACTGTGCCTCGTAAGCCATGAATGACATACTGTGGACTCTGATTGGGATTTTGCCGATACCAATGTATATAGTCAGCTCCACTGATGGTAGAGTGGTTACAAGGCAGGTTTACATTTTCTCCTTCAGCACAATCCATGGAGTTGGGCTGGGTGGTCTTAGCATTAATCACAGTTCCTAAAGGGTCAAGAAAATAAAATTAGCCCCTGACCACAAATCAGTGTAATTCTGTGGATCAAGTGTACAACATTCCCATAACTGTCTGGACCTGCCCCTATTCCAGTGTTTTTAACTATGTCCTGCAAAATATCATCGGTGTTTATTATATAGAGACCAAAGACACATGGCAAGAATCTGAGACTCTATAACCTTTATCTCATGGGTCCTTTCCTCAGTAAACACAGGGATTTCTTACAAACTGGTTACTGCTAAGTGGTCTTCTGGGATCATGGCTATGATTTAACCTGTCATGTAGAAGTTTGTGCTCCCTAGCAAATGCATAGATCAGTTCTCAATCCCATCGTTATGAGGCTGAATAGAGCACAGGGAGAGCAGAGAGCAAATTACACTTCATGGCCCTTTGCCCTCAAGTCATCCCTTGCATACACAGAGCACTTACCCAAGGTCAGAAACACGGTTACTCCAGTCACCAGCCTCATACTCCAAGGACAAACCAGGATCATGGGCTCACAGCTCAGACTGTGCCTGCTCCTGGGCTTGTTTCCACAGAACAGAAACAACCACTGCTGGTAGAGACTTAGAACCAGAGCAGGTATCAGTGTGTTGTTGCCAAGATCTGTCAGCCAATGATCAAACAGTTCCTTGTCTAGGTCTTCCTCCCCTGTTTTAGTCATGTCCCCTAAAAAGGAGAGACATCTCCAACTCACACGGTGTCTGCTGCCATCCTCTGTGAAGTTTAAAGTCTGGCTCTGTAAAAGGAACACCAGTCACAATGATATGTCTATCCAGAGCCATTTTCTTATCATTTGGTTCCTTAAACAAATTGGGTGGTGTTCTATGAAGCTTATGGAAAACATTAATTAATACCAGAAAACTGTACTGAGCTCTGTATTGTAAAGAGATGACAATTTCCATCTGCATTCCAGAAAATGTATGTGAAACCCCAGAGCAGGCAGTGATGTCCTCTGGAGGACAGAAAATATTAATAATGTTGAGACTAAAGCTATGCAACCCGGAGTTCTGGGCTCCTGCAAAGGTCCTTGAAATCATGTGTCTACCACCATCTAGGTAAACATTTCTCAATGCATCTGTTCTTGATACAGTAACTGATGACTCAGATGGTGTCCGCCTCACTCTTCTTGAAGAGTGATCTTTAATCCTCATGTTCTCTATGCCCATGCTTGTAGAAGCTGTGCACCAAGGATGCTGAAGCAGAAAGAAAAGACAGGAAGGAATGCAAACAAAGGTGGGGTGGTGTGTAGGGTGGGTGTAAGTGGTAGAAAAAGTCAAGGGAAGGGATAAAAGCATAAGTAATAGGAAAGGGAAAAGATAATCAGAGGAGGGAAACAGAGAAAGCAGTGTTCAGGAAGGTACATGGAAAAGGCTTAGGCTATTGGGCTAAGATGCCCAGAATCCTTGGCCACGGACCCTTAGCCAGGGATTATAAAGAACAAGCTGTCAAAAGATAATGACATCTTCCCAGTGTTGGGATGTTGGGACCACAGTAAAGTCTCTGTCAGGGAAGACCACTCATTCCAACTCCACTGACCACAGAGGGTGGTTCCGTCTGGATTCTTCCTTCATCATCTTTCTACTCTCATCAGCTCAAAAATGGCCTCAGTTCTCCATTCTAATCTCTGCAAATGGCAAGATAGGTGGTCTATAAACCCAACAACCATCTCCTCCCTCAAAACTGTACTATGTGTAATACACCGCGTGTCACCTGTTATGTAAAAGAACAGTGTGGGTGGTGGAGAAGTTATGCTCAAATATGGAGAGCAGATATTTTTTGTGTGCAATATAGGCAATATACTAAAACACTGAAAGGTGTGTTGGAATAAATACCTTTTCAAATAAAAGCATGCAAACTGTAGGTTTTAAATGTACACACATCCTGCTCAGAAATATCTAAACTGATGGTGGGAGACATAATAACCTGATGTTGCAAAATGCACTGAATTAGAGACGCAGCCTTTAGAGGGAATGGCTTCTGTTGGGACTGTGGATGGACTCTACCAGAACAGTTTGATCTTACTCTTCATTACTTTTGGATTTCTATTTCTTTTCTTTCTTTTTTTTTTTTTTCTGGAAATATTTCAGAAATAAAAGTGACTTTGTTGTTCAGCATAAAGGTATTCTAACAACAGGGTAGCTCATCCTTTTTAACATGAAAATAAACATTTAAACATTAAAAAAGAGAGAGAATGGAAGTATGTCGTTTTTCCTTTTTCTTTGGCACATCAATGGAAAACACGTTTCCCTTTCCCTCTCCCAGAAAGGACCACTGTTTTCAGTTGAAGCAGCCCCCTCCAGTGACTGAGTAAGTGAACTGCAGAACTAAACCCAGGCCAAAAGCCCACTGGTGTGACTCAGGAGTAAAGAGTCTGCCTGCCAGTGGAGAAGATGCCGGAGATGCAGGTTTAGCCTCTGAGTCAGGAAGATCCCCTGGAGGAGGAAATGGCAATACACTCCAGTATTCTTGCCTGAAGAATGCCATGGACAGAGGAGCCTGGCAGTCTACAACAGTTCATGGGGTCTCAAAAAGTTGGACACGACTGAGCACTATAGCACTACTATATAATCTTTTAAAAGGGGGCTTCCCAGATGGCTTAGCAGTAAGAATCCGCCTGCCAGTGTAGGAGATGCGGGAGACATGGGTTCGATCCCTGGACCAGGAAGATACCCTGTAGACGGAAATGACAACCCAGGTGTTCTCACCTGGGAAATCCCACGGACTGTAGACCGCCAGGCTCCTCTGTCCATGGCATTCCCAAACTCGAACACTACTGAGCATGCAACCTTTGGAAAAGTTCAAATTTGAAGGTAAAAGAAGTAATCTAACTGTTTTCATTGACAGAGGAGTGTATAAAGAAGATGTGGTGTATATACACAATGAAATATTGCTCAGCCATTAAAAAGAATGAAATAATGCCATCTGTAGCAACACGGATGGACCTAGAGAGTTTCATACTGAGTGAAGTAAGTCTGACAGAGGAGAAATATCATATGGCATCCTTTATATGTGAGATCTAAAAAGAAATGATACAAATGAACTTACTTACAAAACAGAATGAGACTCACAGACTTAGAAACAAATGTATGGTTGTCATAAGGGGAAAAGGATAGTTAGGGAATTTGGGATGGTCATGTACACACTGCTATATTTAAAATGGATAACCAACAAGGACCTTTTGTATAGTACAAGGAACTCTGCTCAACATTACGTGAAAGGGAGGGGAATTTGGGGAAGAATGGATACATGTACATGTATGCCTGAGTCCCTTCACTGTTCAGCTGAAACTATTACAACATTGTTCATCGGCTATACCTCAAGACAAAATCAAAAGTTCAAAAGAAAAAAGAATCTTAGTTGTAAAACCTTTGTACTCACCTGTGTTTTCTTAGACATAAATTATTTTTGACCATTTTATTTCAGTAAAACCCCTATTATGATATTCTCCATTGTTGACATCTCTTTCATCTTTACATTTGTCTTTAAACTTCCCATATTTAAAGTTTACTTCAAAAGTCAAACAAACATTTATAAGAGAGGTTGTTACAGTCTGGGAACTCAAGACTGTTTCGTGAATAGATAGTTGAGTCTTTATTCATTAATTTAGTAAAAGAAAGAAATTGTGATGAGCCACTATTCTGAAAACAACCTCCCAATTTTATGGAAAACATGTTAAACAAAAAGACTCTAACAGGATAAATAAAGGGTTATAATTATGGGCAAATTCAACAATAGGGAAAAAACATTCAAAATCTAAGATGGAAGAAAATTATATTGAAGACATGGGAGTAAACATCATGGTAATCATGCTTCGTTCATTTAACAAATATTCATAAGTATTCACTGGGAGCCTGTTCTATGGCAAATCACACACACACACACACACACACATGTAAGCCAACAAGCACTTCTAATGAAAATATAAGAACAAATAAAAATGAATTACTTTAAGTATGGATGTATTAGTTTATTATATTAGCAAAAAGCGGAAGAAAAGCAATTACCAGTACATTTTTGTTTGTTGGGTTCTTTGCCTTTGTTTTTAGAAGATGGTAAAAACGACTACCAAGTGTTCTTTTAAATAATACTGAAAAACAAAAAATACTCTGTATGACCATGAGGAATCTAAAAATGTTTTCTTGCCTATTGGCTCTTTTCAGAGTTCTTAATTTTATAGGATTATATCTCTAAGTCCATATGAGGTGAGGTTATCTTCCTTTGCTTGATGAAAACCAAAATAATTCCCATAACATACTTTCAGAAAATCAAGATGACTTGATGAAAGGCTAGTACCTCTGTATGATGGATACTTTCAACTGTCCAGAAATGGAAGAGAAATTCCTGAATCTAATAAAGAGTATCGATGAAAATATCAAAAATCAATATTAGTCTCTGAAGGATCCCAAACAAGATAGGTAGACTATCACTGCTCCTATTCACTGTCTTCCTGAAGGGCCTGGCATCAAACCAGGAAAGGAAATAAGATGTATTAAGTCTGAAAAGGGAGAAATAAACCATTTTTATTCATAGGTGCATGTAGAAAATGCAAAGGAGTCTATAAGCAAACTATAACAGCTAGAACTAATAGGGGAATTATTGACTGTATAGTCACTAAAGACAAATATAGATTTTATTTCTAGATACTAGTGAAATCAATAGAAAGTGAAATTTAACTTTCATTTATTAAACACATGGGAATTAATTTAACACAAGGTATACAGTCCTCTACCAAAAAAAAAAAATTAGACAGGATCTACATAAAAGGGAATAACATAAGATGCCATATGTCAAGATGTAAATTGTCCGAAATGAATCCATAAATTCAACACAAGCCCAATACAACTACTAGCAAGGTTTTTTGGTAGACGTTGAGAAGCTAATTATATAAGTTTGGTGGAAATTCAAAAAGACCTAAAATAAACCTTGAAGAAGAAGAAAAGTTTGAATTGCATTTCCAGATATCAAAATGTATATGAAGCCCCAGTAATTAGGACAGAATGTTCTGTTGGAAAGAGGATAAAATAAAGATGAATAAGCAGGATCAAATCTAAAAATAAGTCCATATGTATACAACATCAATTGATTTTCTCCAAAGGTGTCTATGCAATTCTATGGGGGAAAAGACGGTCTTTTGGGGATAACAGCTAGTGTCAGTTGCTCAGCCATGTCTGATTCTTTGTGATGCTATGAACTGTAGCTAGTCAGCCTCCTCTGTCCATGTGATTCTCCAAGCAAGAATAGTGGAGTGGGTTGCCATGCCCTTGTCCAAGGGATCCTCCTAACCCAGGGATTGAACGCAGGTCTCCCACACTGCAGGCAGACCCTTTACCATCTCAGCCACCTGGGAAGCCCCTATCCTGTGCTGCGACCACACAAACACTAGAATGTGCTCTTAGTGATACCTTATTGTGGTTTTAATTGCATTTCTGCAATTTCTGGCTATTTGCATCTTTTGAAAGTACCTTGACTCCTTCCTCCTTCCTCCTTCTTTTATGAAATAGTTCTTTGCCCATGGTCTAAGTGAAATGTTTGCCTTATTTAAATACTGCTTAACTTTGAGAGTTATTTATATATTCAGGTATTAGTTCCTTGTGAGATATATGGCTTCTAAATAACAGTTTTCCACAGTTGGTAGCTTGTCTTTTCATGCTCTTACGGGTTGCTTTGCAGAGCAAAAGATCTTAATTTTGAAGTCTAGTTTGCCATTTTTAAAAATATTTTATAGACTTGTTTTGTTGTCAAGTCCAAAGACTCTTGGCCCATACACATATCAAAATTTTGTCCTGTATTTTGTCCTAAAATTTTTTATAATTTAACATTTAAGTCTGTGATCCATTTTAAAGAATGTATATGAAGTGTGAGACCTGAATCAAGGTTAATTTTTCCTGCCAGTGGATTTCAACTTTCTCCAGCAGTATCTCTTGAAAGGGTTATCTTTCTTCTATCAAATGTATTTGGCACTTTGCCAGAAAAGGTCAGCTGGGCATATTTGTGTGGATCTATTTTCTCTGTTCATTTCCACTGAACTGTGTTTATCCCTGCACCAGTACCAGATAATCTCGATATCTGTAGCCTGAAATGAGATTGACCGATTGTTCTGACTTCTTATTTCTTCAAGGTTTTAAAAATTACTCCAGTATCTCTCCCTGTTCATATAAATTTTAGAATAGTCTTGCCTGCATTTGTTTTTTAAATCCTGATTTTAGCAGGAGTTCTATGACGTCCAGTTTGCAAACTCATGACGTCTCTCCATCTGTCTTCTCTAAGTTCTTTCATCAGTGTTTTGTAGTTTTCAGCGTAAAAATTCTGTGCATGTTTTCTGTACAAAAAAGACCACTCAGGGTCTCTTTTTGAGTCATTGTAAATGGTATTATACTTTTAATTTTGAGGTCCACATGTCCATCACTAATATATAGAAATACAGTTGACTATATACACTTATCTTATTTCCTATGGTGTTGCTGAACTCAATAGGTCTGAGAGTTTTGGGGGGTAAGTTCTTTGAGGTTTTCTATACAGATAATCATATTACCTGGCAGTTTCACTTCTTTTCCGGCCCAAGACTGTCTTTACTGCTACTTTCTTTACTGCACTGGCTCTGACGTCTAGCACTGTACTGAAGGAGAGTGATGAGAGTGGATGTGCTTGCCTTGTTCCCAGTCTTGGGGAAACACACACAGTCTTCTGTTAGTAAGCACACTGTTCGCTACCGAGGATCTTCCCACTGTGCCTGTGCTTCTCAAAGTCTTCACCATAGTTGACTGTTGAATTCTGGCAAAAATTTAGTCTACATAGATTAATATGATGTAATTTTTCTTTTTTTATCCTGTTAATATGGTGAATTTCATCAACTGATTTTCAGTTTGAAGTAATTTGCATCCTTGAAAAAAAAAATCCATTTGTGCTTGGTATATTACTCTTTTTATACAGATGAATTTTACTTGCTAATATTTTAAAGAAACTTTATGTCTATGTTCATGAAATATGTTTCTCTGCAGTTTTCTGTTATGATCTTTGTCTGATTTTAATTTCAGGGAAACACTAGCTTCATAAAATGAGTGAAGGATTCTTTTTTTTTTTCTGGAAGAAATAGTGCATAATTCATGCTAACACTTCAAAAGATTGGTAGAATTATCGAGTAACACTGTCTGAGTCCAGGGATTTTTTTTTTTAATTAAAAATTCAATTTCTTCATAGATATCGTGACTTCGGCTTTCCCTGGCCCCTGCTCTGAGAAGAGGTGAAGAGAAGCAGCCCCTGGAGCCCACACTGAGGTTTGGGGACAGACGGCAGGTGCTTCCAGAGCACTGTGCCCCGCACAGAAGTAGGTTCCTACATCTGAGGGCTGGGCGGCCGTGAGGTGCAGGGAGCTGTGCTTTCTGGTCTCTCCAAACCGACCTGTCAGTCTCTGCTCCGTCTTCACTTCTCCACCCTTATCTAATATCATTAAGAGGACAGGGCTTCCCCCAGGGCTCTGCTTATACCACTGTAAGTTGGTTAAAATGCTTGAGGAATTGCAGTACGTGGTGAAGTTCTCTCCTTCTTGTAGACGCAAGAATTGAGGGATTTGACTTATCTGTTGTCCGTTCACTTCTGTTGAGAAAACAGTGAGAAGTATCAGAGAAAGTCTAATCAGATGTCTATTCTCTCAGCTCCAACGGTCTCTCTCATTCTTCTTGTGTATTTTTCTCCTTCTTTCCATGTCTCCCTGCCCAACTCCCTCCATCTTTCCACTTTGTAGTTTCTGAGTTTTTCTCAACATCCTGCTCTCTATCAGAAAATCTCATTCCTACAGTTTCCTGCAGATAAGATTCCGCTGTGCAGAATTCTCTGGAAGCAATCAGGGAAACCCCAAACTCACGTGATATTTGCATCCATAAGATCAACACTGGTGCTATGAGCAGCATTTCCATCTTCTCCCTCGTCAGAAAGAGTTGCTGAATCTGCCTGCTCCTAAAGGGTTTCCCTCGTACACGCTTTTCCAGCCTCACACACGTTTCTGTGGTCTATACTGCCTTTTGCAAAGAAAAACCAAAGGGGTGACTGCAATTTGAGACAGCCAATCAGACTTACTCTTACTTTACTCACACATCTTAAAAAGCAGGGGGTGTTTGCAGATGCTGCCCCCCTGTGGCTGGATCTAAAATCGCTGACTTTATAACCAATTCTTCACAGAATGCTTTCTAATTTAAGTGGTGTGTATGTTTGTCAAAGCTTGAAGAGTTTACTCACGCTGATATTGCTTGGGGAGGAACAATTTGCCTTTTAAAATGGATTTTTTAAATTTAAAACTAGGGCATCAGGGGAAACAATGGAAACAGTGAGATACATTATTTTGGGGGGCTCCAGAATCACTGCAGATGGTGTCTGCAGCCATGAAATTAAAAGACGTTTGCTCCTTGGAAGCAAAGCTATGACCAACCTAGACAGCATATTAAAAAGCAGAGATATTACGTGGCCAACAAAGGTCCATCTAGTCAAAGCTGTGGTTTTTCTAGGAGTCATGTATGGATGTGAGTATTAGACTATGAAGAAAGCTGATCACCAAAGAATTGATGCTTTTGAACTGTGGTGTTGGAGAGGACTCTTGAGCATCCCTTGGACTGCAAGGAGATCCAACCAGTCCATCCTAAAGGAGATCAGTCCTGAATGTTCTTTGGAAGGACTGATGCTGAAGCTGAAACTCCAATACTTTGGCTACCTGATTCGAAGAACTGATTCATTGGAAAAGACCCTGATGCTGGGAAAGATTGAAGGTGGGAAGAGAAGGGGATGACAGAGGATGAGATGGTTGAATGGCATCACCAACTCGATGGACATGAGTTTGAGTAAGCTCCAGGTGTTGATGATGGACAGGGAAGACTGGCGTGTTGCAGTCCATGGTGTCACAAAGAGTCAGACATGACTGCGCAACTGAACTGAACTGAACTAAGGGCATCAGGAGGAAATAAAATGTTTCATTTCGCATTTCCAGTTTCATCAGAATCATACATGTGTGTCTCTGAATGTACTAATGGAATGTATTAGATCATAGACAGTTGAAGAGGTATTGCAAAGACTCAAAATTTATTGTTAGATAACCTAAGATCATGAAATGGAAGATAATAAGTAACCTATTTTTCTGTTGTCATACAGATTATCCTGGTTGTGAATTATACAATTTGGAGCTCATATGTATTGTCCCACTGTGTTATTTTGCCACATACCAGTGAATTTTTAAAATCAGTATGATTTGACAGGAAGCCTTACCTATCAGATATGACTTTCTATAAGACCTCCTTAAGCAAAACTCTGAGATAGAATATATTTGTATGGCTCCACAGAATTTCTCACTTATTACAGCACTTACCAGCCCATAGTATGATCTGTTAAGTGAGGGGACTGGCCTCATGATCTAGAGAGTATGTACTGTATTAATCTTCAAGAACTGAGCTGTCCTATATAGCAGATACTAGCCACATGAGGCTATTTAAATTTAAATTAATTGAACTTAAATAATATTAAAATTTTAGTTCCTCAATCATACTAGCCATATAACAAGGGCTAAGTACCCACACCTGACCAGAGGCTTTTGAATAGTGCAGATATAGGGTGTTTCCACCATCTCATAAAGTCCCACTGAGTGGTGATTCTCTGCAATGTAGGGTCTATGAAAACAACGAACTTTGCCTGTTTGGTGTCACAATTAAAGTCCTAGATACGAGGTATGCAGTTAATAAGTGTCTGTATGTTAACATCACTATGTTTCCAGAAACTACTTGAATACCTGATAAATAGTAGATACTCAAGTATTTGTAGTATAATAACTAAATGGATGTGCCAGCATGTGTGAGCTTGAACTCAAACTATTCCAAAGATCAGCTTAAAAACACCCTTCCATGACTGTAATCAGGAGTTGCTTGTAGCTATTTAGAAATGTTGCTTTTGGAAAATTGTGTTAAAACCCCAGTCTGTCATAACAATTTATCACAGATTTGATGGCTCTTTAAAAAAATAAAAACACAAATGGTTCCCTTACAATCTCGAAGGGCTTCCTTGGTAGCTCAATTGGTAAAGAATCTGCCTGCAGTGCAGGAGGCCTGGGTTCGATCTCTGGGTTGGGAAGATTCCCTGGATAAGGAAATGGCAACCCACTCAGTATTCTTGCCTGGAAAATCCCATGGACAGAGGAGTCTGGTGGGCTACAGTCCATGGGGCTGCAAAAGTCTTAGCAACTAAACCAATCTGGAGGCCAGAAGTCTGAGACAAGGTGTCAACAGAAACATACTCCTTCCGAATGTTCTAGAAGGGAATTCTTCAGTGCCTCTTCTAGCTTTAGGTGACTCCAAGTGTTCCTTCACTTGTGACTGTATACTTCCAACCTCCTCCTCCATCAAGAAGGCCTCACAAGACTTTCTCACCTGTGTGTTTCTTAAAAGAAAAATTGTCACTGGATTTAGGCCCTACCTGAAGTGTCCAGGATGACCTTATCTTTCTATCCTTAACTTTGTTTACTTTTACAAAGTCTCTTTGTCCAAATAAGTCACATTCACACTTTCTGTGATTAGGATGTGGGCATATCATTTGGGAGCCCTCTCCCCATCCCACTATAAGCTCTTTAATGTCTTTGAAGAATTGTCATGAAAATATATGAATGATAGAAATCTCAACATTTATTTCAGAGTCAAAAGTGAATCTGAATCTGAATTACTGCATAATATGGAAAGAGAGAGAAGCAAGTTTAGGATGCACTGGGAAATGAAAGTACCATGAGTTAACAAAGTTTTTTGAAATGCACATTGTTGGGACAACTTTTTCTTCTCAGGCATGTTGGATTTGGACACCAAAATGAAGACAAACCTAGAAATGCTATGTTAATGAAGGCTTCTGCCCCATCCTAAAAGAGCAAGGAGTCTGGAGAGCACTTGGGGTTGCTTTTAAAGTCCCCTGATCTTCATGCAGATTAGGAGCCCTGCTACAGTTTACACAGACGGATGTAAACTGAGACAGGATAGTCACCCCCTGGAGAAGGCTGCCCTTTCCCACTCACACCACCATATTTACTGTATGTTATCTCTGGATCTTGGGGTGAAAAGTAGAAATCTGCTAAATGAAGAGAGAGATCTGGCTTTGCTTTGGTTTATGGACAAAAAGGGATCTCAACATGCTTGGTAGGAAATGACTCCGCAGAATACATGTATAAGATAGCCCTTATTCACTAATATTCTTGTCAAAGCAATTTTAAAAGAGGACCAGATAGAGGAATATTTATAATAAACTGTTACAATTATTATTCTAAGAGATTTTAGATAAGAAACAAATAATACTGCCTGAACTGACCATGAATAATGAACACACATGTTCATTTTCACAATTACATGGAAAATTCATTCTGGCCAAAGAGGACAGCATCTGCAAAGGCTATGGTTTAGTAAAGAGTTTAATATGTCTATAAATGGTTAGAATTTTAAAGTGGTTGATGTACATTAAGGAGTATGTGGTGGAAAAGGGGGAATGAGAAAACTAGAAGCAATTCAAGGGAAAACTGTACATTGTCTTGTATTTCTTAATATAGAATTTGATCTTTATATCTTCTAATGGTTTCTCATTACCCAACAATGACCAGGAAGTGGTACGATTATATATACATTTTATAATAACTCTAGGATCATGTAGAATTTAGATTCAAGGAATTGAGAGTAAACCCAGGAGGAAACCGAAGAGGTCCCTGCAGTTATACAAGAAAGATGCACCAAATGGCTGGGTTAGAAGAGTAGCGAAGAGTTTGTAAAGGAGGAGATGGATGTGCGTGCTACACAAGAGATACGTTGACGTGACCTCGATTTTTATGGAGGGTGTGTGTGCTTCATTACACGCTGGTGCCTGTCTGCTTTAGACGGTGTGTTTATTCTAACAGGGCTATTTAAAAGGGCATGACCATATCTCTATTAACAATCAAAATTAAACAGACTGTTTCAACTTCAGATCCATTTGAAGATCTATATGCAGAACAAATTACATATGTTTCCAACAGCTGTGGCATTCCTGCAGCTAGCAAAATAGAATTCTGAAGCATAAAAATTATTAAGTCACTTTCCCTAGATCACTCAACTAATGAGGGGCAGATTTGGAAATATAACCTAAGTTGTTGTGTTCTGCTAACACAGCACATAAATATCTAATCTATCATGTTCTTACTGTTAGTGGGAAATTTGTTTGTTAGAGTGCTATGTTGAGAGATTGGGTGTATTATAATATAATATTAAATAAGTATACAAAGTCATGTTTGCCATGATTGTTTGGTTTTTTCCCATTATTGAGTCCTGCTCCCACTTCTCGTCATGTTTCTATACTACAAGAAAGACAGAGCAGTAGACAAAATTCACTTACCAGAGGAAAAAACCCCCACCTTATGCAAGAATTCCAAACTTTCTGTCCAAGGTAGCTTATTACTCTCCAGGTTCAATTTATCATTTGCAGTCGATCAAGTTCACATCTGGCAGGCAAAATATTAAAAAGCAGCCAGTTATCCTGAATCCTCTCACTCCTGATTTCTGCATTGCGAAGTCTACTAATTGCTTCAGCAATGGCAGCTCCTATGGTGATTAGGCTTCTGCACAATTTAACCCACGATCACTGAGGAGAACAAGGAGGCTAGTGTAGGCCCCACAAAATGTTTGAGTAGGACCCCAGGTGGCAGTGCTTCAGCTTTCATTCTTGCTGCATACACTGTGCTGGAACCTGATTGTCTAGGAGGGAAAATAGAAACTGAGATAAAGCATTCACCAAGGGGTGACATTCAAGTAAAGATGTGAAGGAAGTTCAGAGATACACCGTGTGGGTGTTTTGGGTAATAGCATCACGGTAGAGAGGGCAAAGGCAAGGGACACAGGTCTTGATATAAAAACATGTTTAGAGTGTTTAAGTAACAACATCTCTTCTTTCTCTGTAGCCACTTACTCTTCCTAAGACACTATTGCATAAGAAACTTGCTAAAGCATTCAGCTGAATATTCATTGGAAGGACTGATTTTGAAGCTGAAGCTCCAATGCTTTGGCCACCGGATGCAAAGAGCCAACTCATTGTAAAAGACTCTGATGCTGGGAAAGAGTGAAGGCAGGAGGAGAAAAGGACAACAGAGGATGAGATGGTTGGATAACATCGCCGACTCAACGGACGTGAGTTTGAGCAAACTCTGGGAAATAGTGAAAGACTGTGAAGCCTTGCAGTCCATCGGGTCACAGAGTCAGGCAGGACTGAGCGACTGAACAACAAAGCATTCAGCACTGTTACCTGGTTAGTGGATGATTTCCTCATCTACTGATCCCGGGGCAATTGTGTCTATGGTTTGGCATCTTCTTTCCTGGTTCCCTTTAACTTCCGGTTTTAACCAGTAATGTCACCACCATTAAGACATCCAGCCACCCTGGGGTCAAGTGCTTCTCCATAGTCCTTCTCTTTAGGAGCCCTTTAAGATGTGACACACTGCCTGGCAATAAAAATTAGAGATGCTTATCACAGTTAGAAAAGTTATGTCTCATTTCTCACAGATTGAAAACTTGGGAACAATAAAATCGTAGTTTTGATATTTAAATTAGATAATGAATCTGAAATGCATCCTACATTGCCTGAAATATAGTAAGCACAATAAATATCAACTTTCTTTCTTCTAATAAAACCTACCTTTCCTTCAATGTCCAGGTCTGTAACATTCTACTGCTTTTTTTCCCCTCCATATCAGGTCAGTGATGGGAGTTTCTAGAAAGATACTTAATCACTTATTTTCCTGGAGACTCATTACTCTTCTCTATACTTTTAGGGTTATATCTACTAGCTACACTGATGCATTGATACTCTCAGGGTGCAGAAAAGACATGAAAGGCACACCCAGAGGAGGTAGGTATTATTTTGATTTCCCTAATGAATAATAAAATCAAGGTCATTTTGTATGTTTACTGGCTATTGGATATAATATTTCTAAATTGGGTCTCCAAGATTTTTCCATTCTGTTTAACTATCTTCTTGTCTTTTTGATTTATGAGCTTTTCATATATCCTGCACTTGAGTTCTTTTTTAGAAATATGCATTGCAAATATGGTCTACCAGTCTGGAATTGACTTTCTACCCTCTTGGCAGTTATTTTTTTAATAAAGACTATTTAAAAATACACTTTCATGTTCATAAGAAGCTAGCTTGAAAGTTTTGTTTGTTTTCTTAAGAACTGTAAAACTGTTTTCTTTTGTTGACTGCTATTGCTTCTGATAAGAAAACAGGCATCATTCAAATTATGTTTCGCAGAATACAATAAATCACTTTCCCCTGGGTATTGGCAAGATTTTTTCCACTTAAATAGACCCTGGGATTCTTCTTCAATGCCTTGCAAACTTCTGCCAAAACTATGATGGCCCGCTTGCAGAATTCCTTATTCATCTTTGTGGCATTTCACATATTGCTCCTGAATAAGGACCTTGTTGTAGAGGAAGTCAATACAGCAGTGAGTGGAGGTGCCTTCTATAAACAAATAGTTTATGGAATGGGTAACGGAAGTAGTTATAAATACCAGCAACAATTATCTGGTCATTTTCAGTAACAAAAAAAATAAAATGTTATTAATGTTTTTCATTTTAATATGAATATATTCACACATACATTAATTATTTTTAAATCCCCTGTCTCATTTGCTTGCCTGTAGTAACATAAAATATGCTGATATAAGTTAATCTTATATCTTATTTTATCTCAGTTATTAAGATACAGGTTTCAATGCAAGAGTTTGATTCAGCTAGAAGAGGAAAGAACATCACCCAAAAAATAGATAAATGAACTTGGTATAATTTTGCAGGAGGGAGTTAACTTATACTGGTTGAATGAAGAATTATTGCATCATATCCGCAGGAAGAATAGTTTTCCTGTTGACTTTATGACAAAATTGTGTTGTTAAAAGAGGTACTGATGGATGCCTAGTTAACAAATCAATTAAACAGTTAAGCTATTGCAGTAACTTTGTACTGCTCCAACTTAACTGTCTAGAAATCTATTTGGAAGGTACTTGTCATGAAGTAGCCATATTTTTATATTCTGCTGTTTGGTTCAGGGCTTCAGGCACTGCACATGTTGCTGCTTATCAACTACATCATCTTATTGATGATGCACAACTCTTCCACCTCCCAGCAGATCTCCAAATCTTCTGTTCATCTCGGGCCAAGTATGCATGTAGCATAACAGCAAGTGACACTCTTCTCCTCAAGGTCACTCGTTCTTGTGAGACACTAAAGGAGGTGAGAGACAAGTTTTAGTGTGTTATGCAGGTTCCATTATCCTCGTGGTTCTAGTATGTCCTTATGAGTCACAGTTTGTCCATGCTTTTGTCTGCACCCACTTTCCCTCACAAATATTACTCCAACTGGCTAACAGTGAATTCAGTCTCAACACCAGATACAAAGATAACAGCTTTGTATGGACTCCTCCAGCTCTAGCAATTGCCTGAGTTCTCATCTCAATAACTGATATCTTATTCGACACCACTAGTGGTTCTGCTTTTCTGATTGTAGCTTCAGTGACACAAAGTCTAAGAGGAAAGGACTAAGGAAATGATTTTCATGATGATTCCGGATAACTAGACCCATATTTGTCATGTGAGGGTCTTTAGGTGAAGCTGCCACTTTGATGTATTATGGGGCAAGTATTCAACTTTAAACAACGCATGTTCTGTATGATTGTTTTAAAGTCAAAAATTCAAGACCGAGAATGTATTAGTAGAAAATTACTCTGGACACCTGTTTCCAAATGACATGGAAGGAGTTTTTGTTTAGAATTAAATCCTCTGATCCAGACCACAGATGAAGCAACCGTAGGACTACCATTTCTTGTCTGAGGTCTGCAGGTGTGCATTTCAGCTGGGGTCTTGCAGCAGGGGGACTCTCACTTATTAAGCTCTGGGGTTTTTGTATAGCTTTTCCCATTACTTCAAGCACTGTGAGTTCCCAGACTGCACAAAAGTACTTTGCAGAGTCTTCCAGCTGTAAGGCTAAAATGATGAGGCTGATAGAGTTCTGTGCTCTCTGAAAGTTTACAGAGTAGCGGCCATTCCTTGCATTCAGGCCAGAAGATTCCTGATGAATAAGGAAAGTCATCTCTCCACTGGGAAGCTGCTTGTACCAAAAAAGGTAGTGCGTGTACCCACTCCAACTTACTTCATACCGACAGTTCAGAATGACAGATTGCCCTATTTGACTGGTTATGTATGGCTGGTCTTGAGTAACTTTCTGGGTCACACCAGATCCTGTGGAAAATATCAGAAAACTGAGCTGAAGCAGTGAACAAAATAAAGTAGGAATTAGACTAATTTGAGATCCAAAGAAAACCCAAATTGAAATCATAATAAATATGCTTTTCTCCAACCCTCCTTTCCCCAAGTCCCTGTGAAGTACCACGTGCCTGTGTGCAGTCCTTTCACCCTAAACACTCACACCCATGTTTGAGAGCATCCCTACCAGAGAAGGTGAAGGCCAGGAACACCCAGAGCAGACTGGAGAGTGGCATGAGGCATGGATTCCCCTGCACAAATGTGCTCAGTTCTGCCTCAAGCTGAGAGCTCAGTGTCTTTGAATGCCCGACGGCACATATACATACTACCCGGTACCTGTGTGACTCCCCGCAACAGGAAGTGGGGGTTATAGTGTTCATAGACCACGTGGTCTATGCACACATGGGAAAAAGTCTGACTCACCACAGACCTTTATTTTGTCTAGTTGACTTTCTCTGGTCATGAATTACCTGGTCACTAATGACCTATGCAGTATCTGAAAAGGGCCTGAAAAAAGCAATTCTCATGAAAGGTTTGAGTTGAGCAGAACAGAAGAATAAACAAGTTGACATACATTGGTAATTATTCAGCAAAATAACTTTACCAGCCCATTTTAAACATAATTTAGTATATGCCATGAACCCTTCTTATAATCTATTTACTGTTCATCATTTAGCCTATGCCCACTTTCCTCAGAGTCTAATGACTCTTTTAAGAAGCTCATAGACCTTCATCTTTTTTAATGAACGGCAATCTTAACCACATAGTTAATACATCTCTTGTTTACTGGGTTCTAGGGCTCTAGTTAGGTTTTCCTGTAAATAAGTTACTTCAACATTAAACAATAACAAATTAGTCCTTCTGACTTTCAGAATCTATTCTGTTATCTATGTTTTTATGAAATTATAACAGGAATAAAACACTTTTTGTACAGCTTTTCCCATTACTTCAAGCACTGTGAGTTCCCAGACTGCACAAAAGTACTTTGTAGAGTCTTCCAGCTGTAAGGCTGACATTGAGTCTTACTTGTTAGACTTTGAGAAGGATCAGGACATTCAGACCTGCTGCCTCCCAAAGTAGAATCACACTTATTAGATCATGTGGCCCAGAGTTGTCCTCATGTCACATGTTTTCTATGTCACTGGCCCAAAGAGTTCAGTCTCACTTGTTAGTGGCTCATTATTTTTCTCTTTGTAAAATAAAGTCAACAGAAGCATGCCAGATCTTTCTGTGACACAATGCTACAATGCACTCCTGCCAAACTTGGCATCTACAGGCTGCAGACACTTAGTACCTGTCAATACCACAGAAGCTGGTGACTGAAGTTCTGCACACTGGTACAAGATCATGTAGAATGTAACTGTCAACCTTCCATCTGGTTTCATTGTTTTAATGGAAGAATTAACGTAAAATAGTCAAAGGCAAATAGACAAGTAGAAAGGAATACAGACAAGTTCTCTAAAACAGTGCCAGTCCTTTAATTTTAGGACAAGATAACTAGTGATGCAGGAATAAAAGTGTGTATTTAGTTGAGATGTCTACTCCTCTGTCTCATTTCACCTCGGAGTGCTGACAGGCAGCTGATGCCCTGGTTTGCAATTATTTATAACTAAGTAGAAGAGACCATGGATGCCCACAGAAACCTAGGCAGCAGCATGATAAAATGAAATATATACATATTAACAGAATAATTACAGATATAAATATAAGGAACTTGATATTGATAAATTTTTATCAAAACACAGAACTTACTCTGATTCACCAGTTTTTACAGGCATTTTTTTGATATATAACTCTATGAAATTTCATCACATGTGTAGGTTCTTGGAACTGTCACAGAAATCACAATACAGAACTGTCCCATCACTCTAAAAAATGTCCCTTTGCACACGTTCTCACCCCTGCAATCCCTGATCACCCCTGGCAACTACTGCTCTCCTTTTCATTTCTATATTTTTCCTTTTAAGAATGTCACGTAAGTAGAATCATACCTTATGTATGGAATCATTATGGATCATAAGCATTCTATCCAATAAGTGTTATACATCAGATAGCCTTCTGAAATAGACGTTTTCCCACTCAGCATAACACTCTTGAGATCAATCTAGCTTATTGCATGTCTCAGTAGTCTGTTCCTTTTATTCACGACAGACTTTTCCCAACTAAAGATGGTTTGACTTAAGCTTATTGACTTTATGGTGGTGAGAAAGCCATATGCATTCAGTTGAGAGCAAATTTTGAATTTTGATCTTTTCCTGTGCTAACACCAGGCAGCATGATATTCTCAGGTGATGCTGGGAGTGAGCTGAGCTAGTCAGCCCCAGAATCAGGAGTGTAAACAACCTTTCTGTACCCATACAACCTTTCTGTTTTTCACTCACAGCTCAGCAGTCAATAAATAACATGAGATTTTTTTATACTTTACTGTAAAATAAACTATGTGTTAGATTTTTCACAACTGTAAGTTAGTGTAACTGTTTAATATGTTTAAGGTAAGCTAAGCTAAACTAAGATGTTCGGAGGGTTAGATGTAGTAAATGCTTTTTTCTCCTTAATACAATAATTTCAACTTACAATGGTTTATTATAGGTACATCATAAGTTGAGGAAGATCTATAAATAATATGTCTATTTATTCATCAGTTTACCCAATGAAGATGTTTGGGCAGTTTCCAGTTTGGGGCCATCACAAATACAGCTACCATGAATATTCATCTACAGATTTTTGTATGAACACAAGTTTTTTATTTCTCAAGCATTAATACCACAAGTGTGATTGCTGAGTTCTAAGGAAAGTGGATATTTAAGCTTATGTGAAACTGATGTACCATCTTCTAGAATGACTGTATCATTCACCCACCAGCAATGCATGAGTGATCTAATTCCTCTGCATCATTGCCAGAACTTGGTATTGTCAATACTTTTAGTTTTAGCCTTTATGACAGATGTGGAGTGCTGTCTCATTGGGTCTCTAGTTTACATTCCCTAACAGCTATTGATGTTGGACATTTGTTCATATACTTGTTTATATGCTTTTATCCCTACTACATATCCTCTTTGGTAAAGTGTCTGTGTTAGTCTTTTGTTCATTTTTCAACTGGATTGTTTGTTTCCTTCCTGTTGAGTTTAGGAATCCATTGTATTCTGAATACCACTCTTTCGATGGAAATATAGTCTGCAAACATTTCCTGCCATTCAGTGGTCTGTCTTTTTCATTCTTTTAATAATAACTTTCACAGAGCAATCATTTTTAATTTTAACTAAATCTAAGTTTTTTTATGGATTGTGCTTTTGATGTCATGTCAAAAATCTTTTTGCCTAACACTACGTTAAAAAGATTTTCTCTTCTGGTTTCTTCTAAAATATTTATGGTCTTACATTTGAATGTATGATCCATTTTGAGACTGAATTCAAAGTTTTGTATAAGATGTGAGATTTAGGCCAAGTTCCAATTATTTGCGTAAAAATATCGAATTGTCCCAGTATCATTTGTTGCTAAAACTGTCCTCTGTTCAATTGTCTTTGCACCTTTGTCAAAAAATAAATTTTCCCCACTTGTGTGAGTTGACTTCTATAGTGTTACTCGGTGACATAAACTTGCCAATGATTTCTTAATTATCCTTTTAGCATCTGTAGTATGGTTTACTTTTTCATTCCTTATATTCATAATTCATGTTTTTCTCTTTTTCCCTTGATACTTCTACCTCGAAACAGATCAATTTTATTAATCAGCTTTCTCCCTGTGTGAGTCTACTTCTATAGTGTTACCCAGAGGCAAAAATTTATTAACAATATTGTCTTATTACCATTTTCACACTGCAGAATCTGCATATGATTTTCTCATGTGTATAATTCATGGTTTTGGTTATTATATTGATAATTCCCTTGATAATTCTAGCTAGGAATAGATCAATGTTATTAGTCATTTTAAGAAAATTAACTATATTTACTGGTTATTTCTATTGTTTGTTTTAGAGTTCACCAATCTGAATTTTTAAGTTTATCCTTATTTTAGATTATATTGGGTTTTATTTGTTCTTTTTCTATCTGCTTTTGTTGAAAGGTTTTAATAGTCATTGTAATTGCTTCTTAAACATACATATGAGTTGTGTTAAATTTAGTGCCTAAATTCCAAATGTTTGGGAGTTTTTAGAGACATTTTTTCACAATTGATTTTCTATATCCATTCCATTTTGGTGAAAGAATAAATTCTGTATAATTTCAGTTTTCTTATATTAAGACTTCTTATGCACAAGCATGTATATGTGTATATTTCATCTGCACTTCAGGGTGTGTCTGGCGCCTCGTCTGCAGATTTGGGTACAGGCTGCAGGTGCCTGGGGAGCACTGTGCAGTTGCTGCACAGAAGTATGCGGCTGAGTCTCCAGGCTGGGAAGTTGCAATGTGCAATGTGAGCAGTTTGGCACTCTTATTGAGGGAAACTGTGAGTCTTCCATCTTCCATTTCATTCACAACTGAACGTATGACTATCAAGAATGCAGGCCCTTTACCAGAGTATTGCTGGTACCACAGGAAGTAGTCAAATGCACTCTTCTCATAACCACAGTTCAGAATGGAAATCTCTCCTTCCTGAACTGTCAGAGATTGAGGGCTCTGTTTCACCTGCTCTTGGTCACTTTTTTCCTGCTGTTGTCCACTCACCCCTGCTTAAAAAGATAAAAAGTCATTAGGTCCACAAACTGGTATTTCCTTCGTAAAGTTTCTATCTGATGAATTTGTCCATACTCCAATTTTCTCACTCCCCCAAATTAATGAGATATCCTAGGGTTTCTCCATCATAACTCACAGTTTACTTGAAGACACAGAATTAAGAATGATGCATCCAGCATCTTGTCCATTGTTCCTGGCACCAAAGTTCAATGACAGCTCAGGTTCTTCTCCTGGTCTCCTCAGCCAGCTAGAACTCTGACTTAAGGTTCACATCAGCTTTAATTCTTTCAAGAGGCCCCACCTTCTCACAAGTACTTTCAACTAAAGCTATTTTTTTTCAAAGCAAGCACTTCTCAATTTTCTCTATCTTAGACTTGCTCAAAATTACTTTCAATGAAAAGCAGAAATCCCCTCCTTACACATGGAATATGCTTAGTTTAGAATTTGTCTCCTCTATTCCTCATCTTCTTTTTCTTCATGTTTCCAAGAAGGTTAAAAATCATGTATCAGGACAACTTGATATCTTAACAGAGATTACATTATTTTACAATGGAGAAGAGAGGGAT